TTCAATTGCTAGTAGAACAACGCGCGTTTTATTTGATACGCCTTCTTATCTCGAGAGAACGGTATCGAGTTTCGCGTATACACTTTACACACTATTATCTTTACTACGGTTAGGAAGACCGCGTCCTTTTTTGTGAGCTTTGTTCGATTTGGAATTGTTCCATAGTCCACAAACACGGAAATAAGTATTTGCGAAACACAGAGGAAATGAAGTGTAAATAGGTTAAGTTAGATTAGTAGATTTCTGTTCCCATTCGTCAAATGATCCATTATTTTTTAGATTTATTCGTGAAACATGAATATAATCACTGTTTTCTATGATTATTGATAGGATAATGTGATTCATTATCACATGTATTATTAAATCGTTAGAAACAAATCTCGCTACTTAGTAAATATGTAACAAATCCTTAGACTTTACAAATTAGCTATGTTAGTAATAGCATGAATCTGTATAAGCTACATCCACGATCGAATCGAAATCGCAAATTAGACCATCGTAAATTTTTCATGTGAGAGACGTTAGAGTAAGCAAATTGACAGAAATCTTATGAGATTTGAATTTTTTGTGATCCAGTAACATACTCTAAAATTAGAACAAAAGGAATTATTGGAATTCCTAACTCAGCTTTCTACGATTACGACTCCTTTTTTCTGCCTTTGATCTACTTTTTTCATAGCTGGATTCCTTTCTCATGGCGTTGCATTATTTTTTTTCATGGTTGGAAATCCTTCATTTCCTTCTGATGCTTCCTTCTTTTTTGCTGTTAGAATTCTTTCCTCAACGTCCTTGCACTATTTTGTGTAAATGGAGTTCCTTTTTATATTTTTACGTCTCACTTTCCTCTTTTTTTTTTTTTTTTTTTAGCCGTGGAATTCCTTCTCTAACGTTCTTGTGTTGTTTTTAAGTTTGCAGCTACTTTTTTTTGAAGTTCCTGCGCTGCTTTTTTTAATCGATGAAATTTCTTCCTAACGTTGTCGTATTGTTATTTCTATGACTAGGATTCCTTTTACTCCTCATTTTTACATTTTCTTTTTTAGTACTTCCTGCTTGGTGTCTCTACTATCTTTTTAGTTACTGGAAAATTCTTTTTGATCGTTCTAACCTTCTTCCTTTCTTTTTTCCATTGAAATTTGTCTCAGTACTCTTGCATCCTTTTCTTTTCTTCAATCTTTCTTTCTTCTCAAGTTTAAAAGTTCTATCGATGCTAGAACTTTTTCTCTATATTCGAGAATCCTCATCCTGGTAGAATTGTTTCAAGGAATGCGGAAATTTTTCCAAGTCCCAGTTTCATCATGGCAGACGTATAGCAAGAACTCGAGTAATAAATTAGTTTTCCCATTTCGTTATTCCCCGACCACCTTGATAAACATTATCCATGAATCTGGAAGAACAGAATCTGGAAGAGTAGTGCTACAACACTCCTGAGATATACAGCAATCAGATAGTTGCTGGGAACAATTTTTGAGAAAGTGATCTGCCAGTAACCACTGGTTGACCACAAAGGATGAACGTCGTTCTCTTCAAGTAATCGACTAGAAGATAATTGATAGCATATATCAGCCTTGGACACCTTGACAATGGCAGAAAAATCGAACTGGAGAATGGAGGTTTCCCTTGAAATATTTGCTGTCACCCATTCTTCCATAAATGTAGTCTGATTGATACATTTGTTTTAATCATCCAAAAGATGTCTATTTTTTCTATAAATTAATTGGGTACTTCATATTTGTGATTCTGCATCTTAATAAGAAACACGCCCATTCAAAAGTCTCCGGACAGTTATTATACTAGCTTCACAATTGGAAGAAGTTACGTATGTCTCAAAGACATCAGGAATTGGTATTTAGATATATGACAGTAACATGACAAAATATAGCAATTAATAAAGTTAATACTATATGATTTTTAAAACACAAATGCAATCTAAAGTTCATAATGTATGTGCATTGAATACCAAAGTTTTATTAAAAGTAGGAAACGTTGTAAGACCTTTATATTACAATGTTCATCAATCACTGGAGATGCTGTATCATCTAATCTTCTTACTCTTACGTAGATAATTGATAAATAAATCACAAAGATTATAATGAAGCAACGTAGCTTCAAATCTTCTATATTTATTCAACCACTTCGATGTACAAATTAATAGGAATCTAGGAAGATTCAAATGATTCAGAATCTCGAAGTTAGACGAAGTACTATATCTCACCCTAGTTCCAAGCTCCATTAAAACCATATAGAATCTTACATGCTATCATCATTGTTACTAAATCAATGGATAGTAGCATTACTCGATGTTTTAATTCAAGATCTCAAGGTACTACGAAGACTACTATTATCCTAACGCCACTGATAGAGACGATAGCAGCATCTCGGGTGCAAATTGCAACGATGCGAGGGTACACGACCTAGCCACGGGTGACGTAACAGCTCGCGTATTTCTAGAGCAGCAGGTTAAGAATAGCACGGCAAGTAGACGGCTGAATTAAATATAGTCGGTGAACGACCGGCTAGCACAGTACGAAATTTCATTGAAGTCACGGAAATCCGTCAGAACATTGTCCAGCTGATAGACAAATTTTTTCGAACCACCAAAATAATCAATACGTGGGATCAATGAAACGTCGATTGTCATAAGAGGTTACATATGAGACGCTAAGAAGCGACGCTGATCACTTTCGTAAACCGTAATGTTAGGGAAAATTACAATTACTAGCATGATTTTTCAAAATGTACCTCGAAATTGGCGATTATTTATACACATGTACATACGCGTTATTTATACATATTGTACACACACACATATATATATATATTTCTGCGTGTAATAAACAAATTCATAGAAACTAGTGTTCTGCTTCCTGAGGTGTTGAATATTAATTATGGATCTGACTAATGAAATTGTGAGCATCCTACAAAATGGAGTTGATCAGTGACTTCTGAAAAGCACATATGGCCATTCTAATGAAAGGCTTCGAATTTTTTTTCCTTTCAATTTTTCCAATAACCAAAGCATCACAGAGCAGAAGATAGGGCATTGGCATATCTTCCCTTCCTTTTTTATTTTTTTACTCTAATCACTTGCAACAGAGAACTGTTTCATTCCACGTATTTCAGGAAGACATTAACGAGGATTATAAATATCGGGAAACGGGGGAAGAAATACAGATGACAAGGGACGTGGGATTGTAAAAAACGATTTGATGGAAAACCAATACCCAATAGTCATCTCCCGCTGACCTAGAACTCTTCCAGCTCGCCTGCTGAACTTTTATCAGTACATTGAAATTCTTCGCGAAACATATAAAAATTCCGATCACTCTATAAAGAATCATTCCCGAGGACTGCACACAGCATCCAGTGAATTCTTCCTTTTACAGACTGATAGACTACAGTGACCAACGAAAATATTCAAATATTTACTACAGAATATTTTTCTCAATATATTATGTGCATTAAATGTCGTGACCAGTGTAAATGAGACACGACTATCGTGACTATGAACAGTAACGTTCGAAATCATTCCGAAAACGTGTATAGAAGTTATAATACAAGACATTTATTGCAAGTATACATTCAGTGAAAAATTGGGTAGTAGTTTTAAACATACAACTAGTGCTACAGATGGTTTCACTATACATCGTTTTCTTGCCTTCGATCGTTTCGTCTTGTTAATAAACTGCAAACATATATGGAAATTCATATTTTCATTAAGATAAATAAGTAAGTGAAATTTAGATAGAAAATTTGTCTATCTACCAAATATCGTAACAAGTATTCTACTTTGGATATATTTTTACATATTAGTTCATTCTGTATATTTTTGCATCTCCAAACTTCACAGGAATACGTACAAATTCGCGATCTACTTATTAACAATAAATAATGGACTGTTCAAATACTTTGTTGGTCTTTGCAAAGTCTATGCTTGCAAGAAATATCTTGTATCTGCTACATGGATTCTCAGTTTATTCACAGTTTCAAATTTTACCAATATAATTACGATAGCCATGTGCCATTACAGTGGCAATAAATTTCAAAATGTTTTTTATAATATATACATATAAGGCTTCTAGGAGTGTTCGTACACTTTCGCCAGCCACCGCATTTACGAGTATGTAGAAGTTTTTAACGTTGAAGAGTCAGTGTTGCGACTAATTAAGCGTTTCGAACAAATGATCCATTATGAGACTCGGAGAGCTGCGTTTCTCTTGTCAACTACATTCCGGCCAATTGAAATGGTAGCCGCGTCGTTTCAATATCCTCGATGAAGTACAATACGCCGGTACAAGCTATTGTCCGACACGGTAATAATCGGATGCGATGTCATTAATTAATCAGCGCCGAAACGATTTCCCTTTGACGCGTGTTTCACTATACAAGACGCAATGCGTGTACATAGTTGCGAACAATCAGACCACTCGAAGGAGTTATTTTCCAGTGGTGTGAATAATCATGAATGGCTGGATTAATTTTCCTAAGGAGGAATACAGTGTTGGATAAAAGAAAATTTAAAATCGATACACTGTGAATTTTAGTAACTTTTGTAGTAGACTAATTTGTTTATCATATTCCTTAACAATTGTTTATTGTATGATGTATATTATATTTATTCATTGCTCTTATTAGATATAAATTTATAGTGCTTTCTTATATTTTTCATTTCAATTTTATATTTTTAATAATTTTTATATTTCAAATTTGTTTTCATTTCAGCAAAAAGAGAGAATGTTTGTAATGTTTGTAATGTTTCAACATGAAAATAAAACGAGGCATTATGCATACCAACTTTATGAAGATATTTTCTAACGTTAGGAAAATATAATTAAATCGAAGATGATCGAAAGAACGTAGCAGGTTTAAGTATAACGATGAATCTAATTCTTTTTTTATTCATCCACTCGATTCCATTTCTCTCCTTGTCCTGTGAATATCGATTTTAACAATATACAACAACCATACTAATTTTCGAATTTCTCTGTTTTAGATAATCAATCATGCCGGTGGTGCCAGCTTTGGCCGAGGGTGCTGGCCAACTGGAGGACCTTGACGAGCCTCCAGAGCCTCGTGTTCGCGGAGGAAGCGGAAGAGCCAGCCTGATGAAACCCCTGGTTGTTCTCGCGCTTCCTGGCATGTATCTCTTCTACAAGTACAGCCAATATAGAAGGGAACAACGCGAATTGTCTCGAAGGCGGGTCACCGAAAGGGAGCTTCAGCATCTTCATCATAAGATCGTAAGTAATTTGGATTTTAATATTAGTGTTGTAGAATGATCCAGTCCAATATTTGGCGAATTTAAATGAAAGATGAATTTAATATGAAAATGTAGAGTATGTACAATACAAAAGTCTTGGACCATTTATTACAAAGAAAGATTTGGTTATTACGAGTGAATGTAGGAATACTCGAGGACTCTTTTGTACAATAAATTATCAACTGACAATGCGATCAAATATTTAAAATTCTTACGAAAGAAACCCCCTTTGTAGGTGTATGGTATTGTATCTACGAAAGTCTTGGACCATTTATTAAAAGGAAAGATTTCGTTGTTACGGATGAATGTAAAGATACTCGAGAGTTCTTTTGTACAATAAATTACCGACTGACGATGCAATCCGATATTTGAAATTCTTTCACAAGAAGATCTCTGTGAAAGTGTACAGCATTGTACAAAAGTCTTGGATCATTTACTGAAAGGAAAGGTTTTGCAATGAATGTAGGGATATTTGGGTCCTTTAAATAATGTATCAACTAATGATATTTAATGAATTGATAAGTTACAAGTACGTAGATGACTATGGCTTCTTACAACCTTACGTCAAATAAGATCCTCAAATAGCTTGCAATTCGTAAATTTCATTTACTATCACCAAGTCTGGGATTGTCGTGCAAATTGTCGCTTATCTGTGCTTACTTTTTGAACAAGTGTTTAATGTGTGTCTTTAAGAATACACAAAGGATATTATCGCTACAGATATACCAGTAAACTACACTAAAAATCGAAGAATTCATAAAATATCTCCTATTCCTCTTAATAATCCTTTTATGCGACTCTCTGATTCCACCTGTTGTGGCTTTTCCACGGTTCTGTCGTCTGCATAAAGAAAGGGCGACTTGATTTCTTCGTTGGAAATAGCGCAGCTTCATCCAGTGTTCATTATATTTTCATCGAGTTTCGGCAAGTGAAGAGAACACCTCCCCTAAATATCCAGAGCTTTGTCGATTCTCTTCTTTCAATGAACCTGTGCCCTTTCGTATAATCGTGTTGCATCGTTGTTAAGAAGCTTTCAAGACATTCTCGCGATGATTACCCAGGGACGACAGCCGGGAAGAGGCGTATCTAAACACACGATATCCGAGAAAGTAGACTCGAAAGCATGAGACAGCCTTTACTATAGGAAAGCAAGGGAAAGGGAAGGAGGGTTCAATTACCCGAGGTTAACGCGATCATCCCTCACTCGAAAGCCTCTGTAACACCTCCGAAAGGCTAAAGCCATTTATTACTGTATATTTCCAGCCGTATTGAATGTCCTGCTTTGCTCACAAACCTGCCTTCAATTTTATATCCCAACACATACCCTTTTTACCTTCTTCTGTGTAGTTTGTCTTTTAACGTATTTTTAGGATTTACAAGCATTGCATTAAATTCATCTATGTCGAGTCCAAAGCAAGACGACTTTGGCTACAAAGTCCGTAACACACAGGTCGTTCTGAAATAATGTAAGTTCTTTGGAAGATTTTTAAGCATCGCACTAAATTGACTACTCGGAACCCAACAAAACTGGCAATCTATCACCAGGCTAAGTGCCAATAATTAATCAGACTTACTTTTTCTCTTTGAATCATTTTAATCGTGAAAAACAGGCCACGATAGTCGCACACGTTGAACAAATATCGATTTCAGTATACCCAGCGTACTTAATCTCCCAACTTAAGACTCTGATTTGTATCACGCTCCGATCGTACATCAGAGATTCGATTTCTTCTCTTCCTTTAAAGAACCAACGATATTATCTTGTGTACTCTTGAACTCACGCCCAATAGCGTTTTATGAAGGCAATTTGTCCGACTCTTAATAGGCGAACTGAAGTTTCTGCATCCGGAGATAATTATCGTAAGGTCACCTTGGGAAATTGCCTCCACCCAGCAGAGTTGAGTAGGTCAGTCGCAGTTTTGGCATGGTACGTGGAAAATGAAAATGGAAAAAGTGTCCCTGTCAGGATGGATGCCAAGCAGCAATATTCACGGCCTCTGGATCGGCGACTGGTCGGATAGCCTGAATATTTGGTTCGGTTACTATGGCCAACATTTCTGTCCCACCTAACTGGAATTTCTCGAATCCATTTAGCCACCGTCACCACTCTGATTTACTGCCTGTCTCGATTCCTCCTGTCGGTGACTGGAAACAAGGATATGATAGGAATATTCCTATCGGTTCGAATGTTCGATTCGTGAATATTATGCGGACCATTCAGCTGGTAGAAAAGGGAACACGGTAAGATAGGGTTATTCGAGACAAGTTTCTATATCTCAAAATTCAATGTTCAACCTTTTGCAGGGAATAGCGAAGCTTGTTGTACGTTGTGAGAAGAATGCGGATTTTCGTGCATTGATGGAAAGTGTAAAAGCACAAAAAGTAAAAAATTCATGTATACTATGCAAGAATATTGTAAAGTATTCCAAGAAGAATGTTGTAACGAACATAGGTGAAACAAATTTTTACTTAGATATCATCTTTTTGATTACAAAGATATAAAAATGCATGGAAATTCACGGTCTGACTATGAGGAATTTATTTGTCTGCAATATGTAATAACGAAAGAATTAGAAAATATCGTGACATTTTCATATTTGTTTCAAACTTTATCGATCTAATCGTGATAATTGTGTCTCGTTGTAACGTTAACGAAATTTCGGAACGTTTCGTACAACACAGATAATATATTCATAAAAGATCTCTATAATTGCTCGGTTACTTTCGTGAGCTACTATATTTTCGTCATTTCTTCCTTTTCTACGTTCGAAGGGAGCAATTTACGAAAATGTATCCGCACTTAAAGGGTTAATCAGACCCTTCAGTCACGAAAGTTCCAGTGGAAAATCGAATTGGTCGTGGACCCGTTGCTGGAACTCGCGTGTCGGTAAACGACGACTGGGAGAGCCTTGGAATTTTTCGAGCTTATCGCGATATCCAGCCTGCTGCGACCTTAATAACCAACCTCAGGATCATTAATGACTGCAACGAATCGTTAGATTATCGGCACTGTTGCTAGTGCAGGTCTTGCTTTTGTAATTTTTGAAATATTCCAAACGCGCTCGCGTGCGAGTAAACGCTCGAAACCGATGTCTGTATGTGTATAGTGATCGAAGAATGGGTCTTGACCTTGCATGTGTAGACACCCTGGCATTGATCATTTCGCCACGTGAATTGTCCGATCGTCGAATAGAACGTACAGTCTCTCATTATCGAATTAGGACCAGCGAAAACTTCAAACATTTTTCTTACTTTTAATCGGATTGGGACGTGTAGATAGTTCAGGATAAATCACTTAAGATTAGAATCTTAAATGGTTCAGTTCTAGAGAGAAATGTCTTAAAGAGAATTTAAATGGATTTCAGGGGTAGCGAATTTTTGTGTAATAAATTTCTTTATAGATCGCTGCATAGAAATCATATAAACGACGAATAATATCTTTTTCAATCACGTTGTCGTCTGAACCATCATTGTAATGTGACTAGTGAAGAACAAATGACGTAACTTAATGCTAAAATACAGTTTTTTGATGAAAGTTTACCTCGTTCTATGAAATGAATATATAAAAATAATTTTCATAGTGACTGGCTGTCTCTTTTGCTACATCTTCCTTAGATTCTTAGGACAAATAATGTTTCCGTTCTTAATGGATCACATTTTCATGTAATTAACAAACTCCAGTAATAAGAGGGTATGAAGGCTCTCGCGATATATTGGTAAATTCTGATAATAAACAAGCATTTATAACCATTTATAAAGATAAAGTTTTTGGTTTTGGAGACATTTTAAGCAAGAGTCGACATAGTTTTGGATCTCGAAGCCACGAGTCTTGATCCTGAAACCTCAACCTTGACAGTAGCACGTGGAAGTGGCCAGGTAAAAGTTGCTGGAAAGTCAAGTCCTTCTTGCTGGTTCGAAGGACTTCGTAACTCAACTGGCAGCTAGACATTGTGCCAGATAAGGTGCACGCCAACTCCGCGTTAAGATCGCGATCACCTGGTGTACGTGAACCTTAACGTCGTTCGTCTGACCTGCCGGAATACCTTTGCTACGTGGAAAAAGGAAAAAAGCGGGTTTCCTTCCCATTAACAGTCGACCAATTATGTATTTGCAAATTCTTCTTGCCACTTTCCATTTCAATTGGTCATTTTATTAATGAACCAATTTCTTTTCTTTTTTTTCTTTTTTTTCAGTAAAGTAATACTTCGTAATTGCTTCAGCCTTATTCCAACATTAGAAACTACTAACATTCATTCCAGTAACGCGTTTAATAAATTCACTATTATTAGAGTGCGACTATTATTGGAGTTGCATTTCGTCGAAATACACAGAAATTAAAATGCAACAGTTGTATCAGTCGCACTACTTAAATAATTGAATCGATGCACCATATGCAGTAGTGAACGTATCAATATATAATAACTGCAGTATCATTTGTCTACTGGTATTTTTAACTTTCTATGTCACGTTGAAAACATTCTACGTACGTTTTATGTAAAGAAAGTAAAAGATAGAAACCAAAATAGCTATTTGATTGAGTAAAAATAACGAATTACGAATATGTAAGAAATATTTACGTTTAGAATAATTGTTATCGGCTGTTAAATATCTAAAAGAAGACTGACGATAAAAATATTCCACTGATATAATTCAATACTTGAAGGGTTCAGATAAGCACATCCAATTAATTTTCTTGAAAAAACTATACTTCTTGTTGCGTGACCACGTCCTACGTTATCCCTTACCCCTGTTCTCATTGCATAGAATTTTCCGTAACTTAGGAATTTTCTTAATCTTAACCTGCTGCTCGATTACACAGAATCGAATCCCCGTAACTTCGTGTGAATAGCTAGCCTCGCAATATTCTTAGCGTTGAACTTACATCTTGTCGAAAATTGCAGTTCAAGAGGGTTTCTATTGTGACCTTATCCGAAGCTGCTAGCGACGTAACGCACGGGTGGCGCCAATGAACTCTCCCTT